TACAGGCAAGGTGGTTATTTATAGCCTAAGATACTTGCCCGAATCAAATGAAAGTGAGAGAGAAATTTGAAATGCAAATTCAAACGAGGGATCAAGAATGCACCAAAATCTTCCTTATCCATACACTCTTCAGAGTTCCACCTAGATGTCTACTCACCAACTCTTTATTTCCCCAGAACCCCCCACATCTCACTTTTTTTAAACCCCTTCAAAAATATCTCAGCCACGAAACTATATTCCACTTTGCATACCCTTTCTCACCCAAGAGCTAGTAGGCAATCAACTTTCTTAACCCTCATTTCAACTGTTGGATGAAACAATGCCTTTTACCCTTTAATCCAAAAACAAACTTCCACTTCTTTGAACAAGGATATGACAATCCTTTTTCCAAATTTCAAAGACAATCACGTGCATAAATATTTTCGTGGGCTTGCAACCTCTCATAGGCTCTCACATATGTCCCTTCCAATGTTCAATCCATCAAGGACAAATTCCATTCTTCTTTCGACCTTGTTGCAGTCTCAACCACAAGTTCATTGTATTTGTGAGGACCTTAAGGATTATGACACTTATAGGGTCATCATTTAGTTGTTGGTGTCTCTTAGGTTTTATATAAGTATGTGCCTCCTTACTTATCAAACAATAAATGAAGAATACCAATATTTATGTTTATCTTCTTTATAGCTTTAATAGTAGTTTTTAGGGTATTTTCCCGCAGATAGTTATTAGCTTCCGGCCATTAAAGTTATGGAAAATACAGGAAAATGATGAGAATGTAACCGCTTACTCAAATGGCAGGTGGAGAGGAAAAAGAGAGGGTAATTTTTCAAGGTTGTGAATATACGATTGTGTAATTTCCATTCTCAGTTTCTATTAGTGGCAAGAAGTCCCTATCATACCCAATGTAATATAGAATTGACTTTACTTTGAGTAATAACTTTGCACATTTATCACATCACATCACATGGACATGGAAGCTTCGGTTCAGTTTTTGATACCCTAGATTCAAAATCCTCACTGTTTGACCATAACCATAAAAGTATAAAAGAAAGAAAAATCAGTGGGCCCCCGGACAATAGTTTATCTTGTTTGCTACCTGCAGAGTATTACTGAGTCATTAATACTTAACGTTCTTTCAATCTCACTTGGCTTTTCTTAGAAAGTTGGGGAAGGTAGAAATTTGGGTAGAGGTCCTACCTAAGTTAAAGTCTTTAGCATCCAAGGGAGAAGATCTTAGAACTTTGGGGGAGATGTTATGGAGTATATTATTAGGAACAAATTTAGGCTTAGAAAATTAGGAGGATATCTAGTAGTAATTCTAGGAGGTTGTTACTCCTGTGATTTGTCTATGTTCTACACCTCATTATAAAAATGTATAGAGAAAATATAAATCAACATCATATTTGTTTGTCTACCAATATAGTTTTTGCTACCCTAGAATCTAAAAAACACATAGTACTGCCATTCTTTAGAGAGGATACAGTGGTTAGGGCCATTGGAGAATTTTCATGGATAGCAAAAGATTAAAAGCATTTAATGTATTATAAGGGGTTGAGACTAAGAATGAAGGGTGTCATCAAATTTTTGCAACTGCCATTTTGAATGTAATGTCAAGCTTTATGAGTTTTTAATGACTGCATTTACGGCTGCATTGACTATATTTGTCCACAAATCTCTGCAAGATCATGGATTGTGATGATATTGAGACGTTAATCACAACTATAATTTCAAACCTTGCTTAGCTACGCAGTCTTTGGTAGCTGCTTTTGCTGAGGTAATTATGGAGGAAAAAGTGGCACTATTGAAGTGTTTTTGACTATTTAGAGACCACTGGCTCTGTTTGTATTCTAGAATGACTTGTGCTCACATCTATTGAAAAATTGAATGCCGTAACTCTGACTTCTACAAAAGCAAACACTTCCAACATCTCTGGCAAACAAGGGGCTAGTTGGTCTTTATTTTAGAAAAGTAGATCCTAAATGTGGTTGGTGTTTGCCTAATGGAAATCTAGCACATTGCCTAAAGATTGTCAACAAGATAATTTGAGGCATGTAAGTTCCTGGTTGGCTTTAATTTTTAATTTATGCAATGAACGTCATAAGAGAATATCATCATCAGCTTTGCATATACCTTCTTTGTTAGGCAATTTGTAAAACACTTGGTGGGGGTGTCATTGCATTTTTCCTATTTAAACGACTCTCTCAAGTTTGGGACTTTACTCAACCTAAAAAAGGAACCTTTTGAAATTGATGTTGGGCTTGCACTATCTTGATGAAGAAGGGCTTCAATCTAATGTCAATGCACACTTTATTTTTAAATAAAAAGATTTACATATTAAGTGCATGCTAATTTATTAATTTGGGTTCTAAAAGTATTACAATCATGCAATTCTAACTTTTACTGATGTTCATAATCAATTATCCATTTGTGATAATCAATTATTCAGCTTTTTGTGGCTGAACTGATGCCAAGTTTACTCTATAATCAATTATTTTATTCAAACAAAGAGAAAGACAGGAATATAGCTCCATCACTGATAAGGCAATGAATGAATTTTGAAATGTGGCAACACAATAGAAGCCGTAGTAGCGTAATGAAGATAATGAAACATGTAATTGGATTTTTCTAGTGTAAATTAAAAAACAAAATGTAAAGAAATATTGACATTTATACTTCACAATCTGTGTTTTGTTTTTCTTATGATTTTTTTTATTTGCATTTAAATTTATTAGTGTTTCTACATTTGAAAATATAATGTAATATATTAATGCTATTAATGCTAACACACAAGGCTAGAAAAAAACAAGAAAAGTGTAAAAAGTTAAAAAAGAAAAAGAAAAAAGAAAAACACATGCAAATTTAATAATATTTGACTAATATAAATTACATTCAAATATAATCTAAGAATTTTTATTCCTTTTTTGAGATTTTAATATTGAATGATACACTAAATGTATACACACTATGTAATCGAATCAATATATTTTTCTTAATTATATATAAACAACTCAATATCTTAAAACAATCATTCAATAATCATTTTTATCAATATAATAACAATAAAAGTATTTATATTTTTACTTTTCTCCTTTTTTCATCTCATATTCAAGAATTATATATGTAAAAAATGTTTGTTTAAAAAAAAAAACTCTTGTAATAAAACTATCTATACATATCATAAATTTAAAATTGGAACAATCTTTCCCCACTTGATTTTTAAAATCCCAATAATATAAATTTCTCATAAGCTAATATGGTAATTGGATTTTATTATTTATTATTTGTTACAAGTCTCGTGTCGCTTGTTTTATTGTTTCATATCATGTGATTAAAATACTTGTTAGGTTTAGGATTTATATTGAAATATTAATGTGGTATTAGAGTCAAAATTAATTTTTTTTTCGTTATTTTCTTGTATCAAAAGTTTTTATTTTGTTGTGGTCAAAAATATTATTTACCTATATTATTAATTGATTTTGTGTTGAGATCTTAACAATTATAAATATTTTTTATGAAAATCACTTTTAATATATTCTTTGTTCAGATATCTTTTTAATAATTTTTTATTTTTTTCATATGAATCCATCTTCAACAAGTATATGTTCTCACCCTCACACTTAAAAATTCATTAAACCTAAACAATTAGAAAAGTCACAAGCATGAGTCATCAGAGCACATAAAAAATTGCATGAACATATATACTCATTGATATATATAAATAACACAAATCTCTCATGTGTTGTGCCCTTATCCTTAAAAATATTACCTTAATCTTCTCTTTCACTCCTTAACTTGGAGTTCACTAGGTTTAGGTTAATGAATATACCCACCACATATAGTGTCCACAGAATTGTTCTTTTGCCCAAAATTGGAATTTGAACTTTTTCCTTGATGATATTGAATGTCACTGACGCCAGATAATTGGAATCAATGAAACCCTAGACGTGGACATTCCCACCCTATTGAAAGCACCGTCACTTCAATGAAAATGTGTGAAACAGTGATTAAAGAAACCCAAAGACATGAAAAAAATATAAAAGGACACACACAGCAATGACGGCACTAAAGTTAAACGTGGCTCAAGAACAGTGACTCTATGATGCTTTTTATCATTCATCTCAACTTTCAACCTTTTTTTTAGCCTTTTTTTTGGTTTTATCTTCTTCGAGCTCAATGTTTTATAAGAACTTCTCATCCCTATCTAGTTTCCTTCTTTGACTTTAACATTTATGGTTTTTTCCTTCATTATCTGTTTGAACGATTGATGATAAGATTAAGAGATTGAGATTATTAATAGAGAGAACGAGTACGTAATGTTCATGCACAATAAATAAATCATTAAAAAAATAATGTAATAAAATTTCACATTCATCATAAATATAATATTATTGTAATATATAAATGAATATATACTACTGTTAAGAGAATTTTTATGATGATAAACTTTTTATATGGATTTTATAATCGATATAAATTCAAACGAAATATAAATATGTGGACTGTTAAATAATTGAGATAATAGATTTTATTTAATATATTTAATTTTTAATATAATAATTATACTTAAATCTATTTTGTAGAATTAAATTAAGTATTTTTAATTTTTAATATACTATCATGACAAATTTGAGTGATATGGAAACATAAAAATTTTCAAAAAAAATATAAATTATCCATATAGGTGAAAAAATAATTGAAAATAAAAAAAGGGGATAGTTTTTTTTTATGGTTTATTTTTTATAAGAAATATTGAATTAATTAAATGGAAAATGAGAAGGAAAATCTAAATTATCCATTGAAATAGATATGGGTGAAAGTAATTGAAAATAAAAAAAGGGATAGTTTTTTTTAACGGTTTATTTTTTATAAGAAATATTGAATTAATTATATGGAAAATGAAAAGGGAAAGAAGCGGACGTGAGAGGAACTAATTATCTTGTTACGTAGTAAACTTCTCTTTCTTTTTCTCTTCCCCTTACCGTAAGTTGTTGGTTATGGGCTTATGGGCCCTCCACTCTCCCTTGCCCAATATGGGCTTTTTCCAGTGCTGTCTTTCTGTGGGCCCACAGTGTGGCCCTTTTACCGTCGCACTCATTGTTTAAATGTGGTTCTTGTTGACCAAAGAAATGTGGCTCTTCAATCTTTATTAGGGTTGGTGAATAAAAAGAAAAATCTTGATTAGGTTTAACATTAGAGATGAAAAAATTTGTAATAAATATATACAATAAGTATTTTAATTAATGAGACAGATATAAATATAATGATATTCATATCTGTGAATATCCGATTATTTGTTAATATTAAAACATCTAAATATATATAATTTATATTTTACATTAAATTTTAAAATATTCAATTTCAATTTTACCAATAATATTTTTATATTAATGGTTAACGATTTTTATTTTAATTTTTTTAAAATTAAGTGATAAAAGTTTTTGTTGAAGAAAATATTAATCATAGAAGAATTATCCAGAGTTAAAGTTTATAAATTTATGTTTTTTTTGGGGTTAAAACTTATAAAATTAAATTATATTTAGAGAAAATAATTTTATTTAAACTTAAATTTTGTTGTGAAACTTATTTAAATTTATTTCTTAGAAAACTAATTTTATTTGTAATAACATTTTTTAAGATATAATTTTGTTTAGTTTATAACTTATACTAATTTTTTAATATTTAAAGAGTAATTTTAAAAGAATCCTAATTAAACTTTTGAAAAAAATACCCATAAACACACGTGGGTATAAAATGATTCATAGATAATTTTCAAATTAATATTCAATAAATAAGAAAAGGGTAATGAAAACAATTTTGAAAAAATATAACGTATGTCATCCCAATGAACCCTAATTGCAACCCGTTGGCATCCTAATTAACCCTAATAGCAATTTGGCAATGGCATAGTTTTGGTAATTGTGGCTATTACGGTTTATTCATTAATTAGCCATAAATGATAATAGTGGTAAAATAATCCTAGGGATTGCTAAGGATTTTTTTGTATATGGTGTTTGCACATGCTTCCATGTTCCAATGAATCTATGCTACAAGGCTTGAATGGAATTTTTTTGACGGTAGCTTAAGAAAGAGGGGTTATAAGCTTATTATTATTAAAGACCAAATCTTTTGCACATGGTTATGATTGCTTCCAAATTACTCTCCACTAACATATTTTCTAAATTTGTTTACTCCCTAGTACAACCTTTAAACTACATATTATATATGCCAAATCAAGCTTTCTTAAAGGCACCATATAATGAAGAAAAATTAATGGGAGAGGAGAGGGTTGAACACTCCACTCAAGAACCTTCTATACAATAAACTTTTTAACACCTAAAAAAAAATAATCAGTTAATTATTTTGCTTGTATAGCAGCTCAAAATCCTTGTAGGATGAGTGAATCATTGCAAAAACTTATCTTAAGGAAGAGGAGAAAGATGGAACTATGAGTTTTTTTTTTTCTAGAAAGAAAAGTTAAGAATAATTGTAGCATATTGCTTTTAATTCCCCATCACTTGTTGCTCCAACTTGCTACCATGATTTGATCATTAAAAATATTTGAAAGTAAATAAAAATAAAAAAGGAGCTACGAAGTTAAATGTCACTTTTTTTTTTGTTTCTATTAGTCTAATTTAAATATAGATATAGAATAATCACTCACTCTATTTAATCAATTAAACCATGATATTATTTATTTATTTAACAAGAGTTTTACAATATTAAATATATATTATAATAATTATATAACATCTCTACTTATCAAATTTTTTTTACCATACCCTTTATAAAGTGAGTTTTTTTTTTTAATTAGTCAAACCATAAACATATTGTTAAATATAATATAAGTTAATATAACAAGTGAATTTTTGAGATAAAATATTTTTTGATTATTTTGATATATGTACATGAAATTTACATGGAATTTTGATATAAAAAAATGTCTTACTATTGAGAGTGTGAAACCTAAATTTTCCTATTTGTGGGTGTTGGGATTGTGGAGAGATTTTGAATGAATTAAGATGGAGAAGAATATAAAGAAAAGAAAGAGAGGGGGGGTGAGGAAGAGGGAGAGGGAGAGGGTAAGATAAGAAAAATGGAGGGGTGGGGGGACAAAAAAAGAATCAACTTGGTGGATTGCTTAGCTGGTGACAGAAAAATGTGAGGGTTAATCCACATGGTAGACAGAAGATGTAAGTGTACATTCACATCACATGCACACCCCATGTGAACTAAAACCTTTTGTCTACATCTTCTACTTTTTCTCATATGCCCCCTGTAAATATAAAACACCCACATCCTCTTTTTCTTACCCATTTAATCACTGCATATGCATTTCTTATTTCTCTTTTTCCAATTTTTATTTCTCTTCATCAATTCTTTTTTCCACATCTATCCAATCACAACCTCTAATTCCCCTTCCATTTTCCCTCTTTTCACCCACTTCCTATATGTTAAGCAATTTTTATCGCTACAAACAAAATCATAATCATAAAAGAAATATCTTTTAAAAATAAAATTATGACAACCAAACATTTTAAAATAAATAATATAAAACATAAAAATTGACTCGATATTATAAAATTAAGAAGAAAATATCATTTCACGTGTATACATTTGTTCTTTTAAATTTTTTAATATTCAAATTTTAAATTTAGAATATTTTTTTTTCAAACATTTTATAAGAGTATCCTATAATTAAGTTTGTAATAAGAAAATTTGATGATAAATGAAAAAGTGAATCCAAGTTTGTAGTATTTCTTTTACCTCTACAAAAGACAAACTTGTAGACAGTAATGAGTGAAAAGTTACATTAGATTCAACCTCCACTACCCTGAATTATATTATTCCATTTCAATTTCCTAATAAGATTGCAATATGCAAGTTGCAGCCTCCATTTGTGTACCTTCACTTTAATATAAATATTTATCTTTATAAATCATGATAATACTTACAAATATTTTACTTTCGAATGTGAAAGATACTTGTGTGTATTTTATATTTCAATACTTATCTTCAGGTTGTTAGATATAATATTTAATTAAGTATCATTAACTGTTGTTTTCTTAATCATGTAGTTAGGTATAAAATATTTTTTACCTCGTGAGAAACAAGTTACTCACACATGCATATGTCCAACACTGTTCTAATTCTGGTTATTAGATTGTTAATAATAACTAGAACACTTTAAGCATGATTAATAATGTCTGTTCATATTAAGCACGATTCTCTGCATTTTAAAGCACTTCAATAACTTTTTATATTAATTTCATTCTCTTTTTAAAAACTAAAATAAAATTATTTCCATCAATATAACTTAAATATTATTTTTAGTATATATATATATAATTGGTGAGATGCTTTATAATATTTCCTTCAAATAATTAGGTTATTTTAGTCACTAGATTCGTTGTACGTGAGAATGTTCAAGAAAATAGTTATTAGAACCTAAATTTCGGCTAAACATATTTTTCATCCTTAAAACTGCAGGAAGTTCTTTAAGAATATACAAACGTAAGCAAACAAGTCTTATTAACCCTAATTAGAAATTTAATTAATTCCAACCCTTCAAATAGAAATTTTGCATTATTTTGTTTTAATGCTAGAAAGTTCATTCAAGGGTTTGTAAAATATAGAAAATATGTTTTGGACGCATCTCAATTACTATTCAAAATATTTTTTTATGAAAAATAATTCAATCTAACTTTAAAACCACTTTTGACTAAATTGGTTTTTCAGACCAAATACCAATTAATTAAACTACTATCGATTCAAATATATCATATAAATCATCTTCGAACAAAAATAGACCCAAAGTCGATTAAAAAAATATATTCATAGCGTATCAATGAAAAATACTTATGAAAATGTTTTATTTTACCTTAAAAACAATTAAAAAGCCATACAACATTGTAATTTATTTTGTATTCTTGATGTTAATTTTTTATTAATAATTAAATATTATGGAAAATTATGTTATAAAGTATTTGATTAAAATTTTTATATATACGTACCTTAAATGTAAAAAACCTATACAATAATGTTTTAGTTTAATTTATAGCGTTATAAAACTATTATATTACATTTATATAATATTTATTATTATTTGTTATTATTTATTTGACCAGAATCCAATCATAATTAAATCAGTAAAATCTAAATTAGTGGATTCAATCATAAATCCGATTCTAAAATCATTGATTAAAACAACTTAACCCTTCTTTGCCACGGTCTCTAGAACCTTGTTCATTGATTGAAGTTTGTTTATATATTCTTTTCTTTTAGGGATCTCCATTATTTCTCATGCAAACATGCATGTTGTTTCTCAAAAAGGAAATTAAAAAGAAAAACATGTTGGATATGTACTTATTTTGTTTTACAATATTATTTGACTGATGAATATATGCCTTTACACATATAATGTAGTGATCTATCTACCTAGTTCCTTAAAAATATTATTTTTCAAAATAATTTCCATTATATTTTATATGTTATTAGTTAATAAAGATAATAATAAAAAAAAGGTTGCATACTAGTTATCTAAATTTTTCTTAATCCCACGTGGAGTATTCATCCTCAATCGTATAATGCTACAATTACAAATACAAAAAAAATACACATGTAATCGATTTTTTTTCTAGTATTATTATTTCATATAAAAGATATTATAGATAAAAAAAAAAAAAACTATAAGGTGTGTGGAGAGAGAAAATTACATTTGTGGTATCTGTTAGGCTGTAAAATACCAAATAGTGGGCATTGGTAGTGGGTAAGGCATCTTCGCTCTCTCAACAGCTAGGTTTGATGAGAAGATGTACAAGGCATATGTCCTATCCAGCAAAGCAAATAAGACACAAATAATCTCGTAAAAATCAAATTTCATGTTTTGCAAGACAAGCAATTTGCCTAAGCAAGTTACTCTTCATTTTTTATTTTTTTAATTCATATTAGATAAAATGACATATTCAATCCTTTGCATTTGAGATATTACAATATTTTTCATAAAAATCAGAAAATCTTTTCATCATAATACAAAGGAAAAATTACACAATTATTTGAAAAGAAAAATATATGAAAATTCTATGATGAGGTACCCACTATTTCTTTTGCATCACAATTAGTATTATTAGCCAATGAGATATTGTTTAATTGTGTACATGTTCAATGAACAAAGGAGATGAGTGGGAGGTATATGCATATTTATTAATGTATTTAGCTTCAGACACATGCATGTGTGTGTGATTGTGTCTTAAAACAATTTCATGGAATATTAATTAGGTTGAGGGACTCTTTTATAAGGACAACATATGCATGGTTACTATAATTGGAAATCAGTTTCCAATTATATATGCCCAACTTTATGCTGAATTTTTTTGAAAGTAATATTAGTGATTTCCAATTTTAATTTAGTTATTGTCTGGAAAATACCTTAGAATAATTGATTAACGAAATTAAAAATACCTTAGTGATTTTCATATGACCTTATTTTAGTTTATTTATTTGTTTTTACATCTTTGAAAAATAGATAAAATACTCAGAACAACTATCTCCAAATATTTCACTGAGACTAAGAGAAGATTTTTGGTTATAAAATATTTGGAGGAGACTTATGATGTCAGAGGTTTAAACCTGTGAAAAAAAATTTGTTTGGGAAGATATCTTGTTAATTAATTATTTGTTTCCTTCTTCTTCTTTTTACAAAAAAAATCAAGTAAAAGAGTTTGACTTTGATATATTAGTAATGCAATTTTTATACTATCAATTAATTATAAAACTTTATATATATATATATATATATATATATATATACTTCTTAATTATATAATAAAATTCGTCAATTTTCAATTATGTGAAAATTCACAAGTGAATAATAATAATAAGCAAAATTGTAACTACTTGATACTAAATGAAATTCCATTGGTACATTTAATTATGCAAATTTTGTGTCATCAATAATTTTTTTTTCAAATCAATTGAGTATGAATGTAGTGCTTGATCTAACTTTTTTTTTTTACTTAATTTTTATATTAACAAAATAACTTTTGAAAAAGAAAATCCAACTGAATTAATTTTAATGTTTTTTTACATACATTGGTCTTTCTTTTTCCTGTCTCTCTTAACTAAAAAATAATTTATTTAAATAATACCAAACAATTTCTATTTTTGAAACTCTTTATGTATAATTTTCTTTGTTTTAATATCAAACATATCCTACATAATAACATTAACACACTTGTTTTTGGAGGCATTAATCATCTTAATTAGGTGTGTATATAATTCATCATTATTAAAAAAACATTAAAATAATAAATTATAAGAAAAGAAGGGGGACATGCCTTTCTCTATTTATGTGAACCTAACTTCCAGTTCCATCCCTCATTATGAATTTACCAATATACCCATGTAATTAGCCATTGCTTTGTTTATCTCAATCCTCTTGCAAGGTTCACTTTGATCAAAATGCCCTTTACACATGTCCTATGTAAATTTGATTTGTACAACTAATAGTGATATTAAAGGTGTCCAAATAACAAAAAGCTAATTTGCTTCATTATTCTTGCATTAATGGATATTGATTGAGTGGCCCCCTTTATCCTTCCATTTGTGTACCTTCTTTAATTCCCATTTGTATTGTTTTTGGACTCAATAATTGCTTTACCGACTTCTTCACCTAGAGGAAAAAATAAAAAATAAAGAATATATATATATATATATATATATATATATATATATTTTGTGACAATTACAGGTTAGAAAAATCAAGTTATGTATATGAGTCAAAAGAAGCCTAATTAGTCAAAGTGATAAGAAATTCAAACCCTAATCACCAAATTATCTTTCAACGAGTATAAGGCACTATTTTTTTACCTAGGTCGACCCAAAGATCTATGACGTTAAAAAAGTATAAAAATATTATTTATAATATGTTCCTTGACATATATTACTATGATCCCATTTAATATAATTTTTTATTTACTATTTTGAATTGTGGTGTATTTTTTATATAAAATTGTACTCTTTTGTGTGATATATATATATATATATATATATATATATATATATATTTTTTTTTTTTGTTATCACTTTAAGTAAACATTATGTATCCTAAAATATACTTTATAAATTAAAAAAACTATGCCTACTTTTAATTGATATCTTAAGTTTAATCAGAATGCACTAAAAATTAAATTAATATATCTTCACTTGAATTTTATAGATTAATTTTGAAAAACTATTTTTAATAATAAGTTAAAAGATATTTTATAATTTTATTTCGAAAGTGTTTTAGATAGAATAGGGTAGTATAATGACGATAAAAAATGACCACAAAAATTGATTTTTCATTTTTATAATTTCATAATAAATAAAGTGAATGTATATATATATATATATATATATATATATATATATATATATATTATTGGAATAAAAATAAAAATTAATAAAATAATATTCCAAACATAGTAATAGAATAATATTTTAAGCTTTAAGAAAATTTTCAGTATTTATCAATTCTAACTCAAAAGGTATTCATATAGGTATTTTGAGAACTCAATTGCACATACACAGAAACTTTAAAATTATGAAAAAATTTGCAGGAGCTAGAAGAATATGTTTGGAGTAATTTTAAAAAGAAAAATTAAATTTTCCAACCTTAAAAACTCATCCAAAATAATGCATGAATGATTAAGAGTTTGAAAAAGAAAGGGATAAATATAATTAGAAAATACCTTATGTAAAAATTAAATTAAGATATTATTTGAATATACATCTTATTTTTTAAATTTTATAGTAAACTATTTAACTTTTCTATTTCTGTTGGTTATGTTTATTTATGAAAGAAAATATGAGTAAAAATAATTAAATGAATCTTACTTTTGTGTGTACTATTATACTTCATCTTTTATATGACTATTTTTTTGTAACAAATTGTTAATAATTGATAAATAATTATTGATAATGTATAACAAATATAAATTCTTTATATCTTGTAATAAGGCAACTAATATATTTGAATTATATAAATTAACAATCAATTGTAAAATAATAACTGATTATATCCAAAATAGTTGAGTAGATCTAGGTTTAGGTGAAGTATGTCACTTCCAAACAAAGTTAAAATCTAAATAATAAATTTGTAAGGTAAGAACTATATTAAAATAATTTTTATATATAGTACAAATTAAAAAATAAAGTAAATTTCCAAACAAAACAATCTTAATTATAAAAAAGAAGTCATTTTCAATAGCAAATGCCACAAGCCCTAGGTCGGAGGGCTTTTGGAATTTAAGGTTTGAAAAAGAAACGAAATATGTGCATTATTTGGCATAGAGTTGACGTCATTGTTCAACAAGGGTACACGCAATTGTCTTTTCATTCACGTTAAATAGTTTTTTTTTTTTAATATTAAACTATTTTATTTTATTTTAAAATAATTTATTGTTCTTCCTTTCTTAAACTCTATTAAGTTGTTTAAAGGATATTGTTACTACTATTACTCATACACTTATAACTATGCTAAATTAACACAAAAGAATTAAAATTTAAACTCAAAAGTTAGACTAAAAATTTAGTCTCTTGATAATGAATTTTAATTTAATATTGAGGGGTGATAGTAAATGGTTCATTATCTATCATATGAGGTGAAGATAGAGTTTAATTATAAGTTTTAAGTTTATGTCCAAATTAGGAAGTATTATGTACAATTAGTACCATGCAATGCATGAGTTATTTTTTAAATAAATATTTTATAAAATATATTTTATGAAGCTTTATAATAAAAAATAATTTAAAAAAATGTAATTTAGTAATTATGAGTAACAAATAAAAAATTAAAAAGTATTTTTAAGTGAAATTGATAATTATAGTTGATTTTTATTAGATGAGAAATATTGATCATGTTAAAAAAACAGTATTTAAATGTGAATATTTTATGTATAATAGTATGTTAATTTTAATATATCTATAGTTTATTGTAAATTTATATCAATTATAATTTAATTTTGTATTAATATAATGTTAAATCGTTTAATATTTAAACGTGAATATTTTTATATAAAATACTGTAGGATTACTTTTATTCAGCAAAATCATTATAATTTAAATTTATATGTGATTTGAATAAATTATTTATATAATCTTTTAGTAATTATAATACTATTTTCTTATTATTGAAATTTATACAATAATTTTTAAAAACGAAATGAGTAATATAATAGCATTTGATTGAGCGTTTCACTACAAAAATATTAAAATTACGTCAAATTGAATTTTGGTTGTCGGTAAATGTGTTACGAAATTATCGACTGAACGGGATCCGTCGGTAATAATTTTATTATTTATTAAATATTTTACTTATTTATAATATTTTTTTATAGAACCCCTCCCTTATATTCTTATTATTAATTATTTCTCCATATTATATTTTTATAGACTTTGAATTATTATCAGATTAATAGAAATGTCATTGGCAGGATTCAACCCAAGTACCTTAGAATCAAAGGCTGATACTCCAACCAATAAGCTACTAGAATTTCTTGATAACAATTTACAAATAAATTATATTTATATACAAATATACAAATATATTTATATACATTTATATATATTTATATATATTTATATATATTTATATATATTTATATATTTTTATATATTTTTATATTTTTATATTTATATATTTATATATTTATATATTTATATATTTATATATTTATATATTTATATATTTATATATATTTATATATTTATATATTTATATATTTATATATTTATATATTTATATATTTATATATTTATATATTTATATATTTTTATATTTTTATATATTTTTATATTTATATTTTTATATTTTTATATTTTTATATTTATATATAATTAAATATTTATTTCTTAAAATTATTTAATTTAATAAATTATTATAAATTAATCTAATTATGATTAAATTAAATTATTAAATAAAAAATATTTATTTTTTAATTAGGTGAATAATTAAATTATATTATATAATTTTATTGACGAATATATTCGCTTGGTAATTAATTGTTAATTTACCGACGGATTTACTGATCGGATATATCCGTCGGTAAATTCATATATAAATTACTGACGGATTTATTGACGGATATATCCGTCTGTAACTAATTATTTACTGACGGATATATCCGTCTGTAACATCAAATTCCACAAATATTTTATATCCGTTGGTAATTTCCTTCGGTAATGATTATTTTCCTTCGGTAATTTTCTTGTAGTGTTTTGAATATTAATAGTTTTAGAATGAAGGTGTAATGTAATCCAATTTGTTTAAAACTAACTAATTTAAGGAGTTTAGTAACAAAATTTTAAGTATACTAAAAATATTAAGCATATTAAAAATTTTAAGTTGGTATATTTTTTATAATATCATAATTTTAGTATTTAAATGCATGCAATTAATATATTTTACTCATTAAACTGTTACAAAGAATATAATTTTTATTTAAATATTGGATGTTTGAATTTAAATTTTACTTAATTAGTGCAAAATATTTTATATATAAATTATTAAGTTACTATAATAGAGAAAAACTTTTTACTAACGTAATAACATAATCATAATTTTCTAATTTATTTTAATCTAATAATTTTATAAATAAATGTATAAATTGTGTAATAATTTCCTAATTATTATTTTACTAAATTTAAAATTTAAAATACAATATTTGAAAGAAAAATTATATTTTAAATCTTAAAATAAATAAATTTATATTTTTTATGATAATTAATAATTTTATGTCATTTTTTTCATTATTTATATAGTATAGTTTTATATTTAATTATATTTTAAAAAATTACTAATTTTTATTAAATATAAAAAAAATATATAAGATAAATGATTATATATATATATATAAATATATATATATATATATATATATATAATTTATATTTTTTTTCATGTAAATCGTGTTAAAGTTAATAAATCTTTTATTTTAAAAATAATTGAATTATTAATGATGTTTGTATTACTATTAATTTTTACATGTACTTTTTGTGACTACTGATAAAGGATTTAAAAAAATTTCGTATTTTCATATTTTTAGTTTTATTATAAAAAAAATTAAAACAGGTCAAAACAAATATTATATAAAATAAAATTATATAAGATAATATAAAAATATATATTTAATTTCACCAATATATTCATTCCATTTTTTATTAAAAAGATTTAAATTAATTTTGTAATGATTAGTAAGAATAAATAAAATTTTATCATGAACATAAGATTATTTACTCATTTAAATTCAAATGTCAAAAGTTTAATGTTAATATTATCAAATATTTATTTATAATTTTTTATTATTATTCTTTAAAAAAACTTTAAATATAAATTAAATAATATTAATATAAATAAATAAAATAAAGTTAAAATTATCACAATCAATCATAATTATAAAAAAATAAAATAAAATAAAAAGATGATAGATATATATTTTTTTAATTTAATAAATGTTAAAGATGAAAAAAATTTAAGAGTTTATATATATATATATATATATATATATATATATATATATATATATATATATATATATATTGTTCTTGCTCTCTTTTTTCTGTACTTCTTTTATTCACCCCAAACTCATATTTATACCTTTTTTATTTTACTTTTTAATTTTTACTTATATT